ACACTTCTCTGTCTCCCGATTTCTGAAGCGTCTTCACTTCATACATCTTAAGAGGAGTAAAGAAACAATTTAGAGTTCCTTGCTCCTCGCAACCTGGTAAGGTAACCGAATCACGTTACCCTTCCAGATGTAAAGGACACATCTCACATTAGGGGAACATACCTGATCTGTAGGGAATCTAACTTACTTTCTAGAGATGAAGAAGAGCTATTTTCGTTGCGTCGCGTCGGGTGGAAACATTGCGGTGACTCTATTTTCTACGAAACATCGCTCCCCGATATGTTAAAAAATACTCGAGGTAAATGAACTCATTTTTGTGCTTAAATAGTTTTGCACTGCATTCCAAATAAGATAGGGAGCATAGCCGGTTAGGCGTCATAGACCGTCAGAGATTCCTAGAAAGCGACGAGGTCGTAACACGGCATACAAAAAATTTTAATAACTTCTCGTTGTAATTCCGTTTTTCCCCGTTTCGAGCCAAAAAAATAATAATTGTCTCTCATGCAAACGGCTCTAAAATATCACAAGCGCATCAAAAAGTTAAAATATACTCATAAATTCACCATCTGCGTCAGAAAGAGCCGCCCTAAAAATGGCCCCTTTCCGGGAACCCGGGGATTTCATTCGTATGTGGCTTAAATGAAACCTTATGATGACGTAAGCCTCCAGTAAAAATTTTAGCTTGAGTATATGTCTTGTTTCCGAGATACAGCGTTGCAAAGTTGGCATATTTGAGCTTTAAAATTCTCATATTTTTATGGATTTTCTTCCAAAAACCAACTTCAAAAATGACTTTACAATACTTACACGAGGTGCACACGATAAATTATAATATGAAAAGTCTCCAGTAAGAATTTTGACTCATGCGTAAGCCTTGTTTTGGCAGTACAACGTTGCTAAGTTTACATTTTTTAGCTTTAAAAAGCTCATTTTTTTAAAGTTTCTCATTCACAAACCGCTATTACTGAAGATCGAACTGTATTTTGGGGCATAGAATCAACAATTAGTGATACTCGTAGATGCATAGTTTAATTTATAAAAGGATACGATAATACAGTGTTGCAAAGTTTTCAACTTGTATCTGGGAAAATGTCTATTTTGTGTTATTTTACTGAAGACAAGATTGAACAATGTTGATAAGTGATATTGTGAAACAAAGAAATGTGGAGGACTTTTGTCAATCCTAGGTGAAAATTGGAATTAAAATGGCACTGTTACCAATTTTATTTAAGTTTCTATTAACATTCCATTATAAAATAAGTTTAAAATAAGGATACTTCCAATAATTGTCTGATTTTAAAACGTAATCCAAGTGAATTTATGGCATACAATGAATGGCTCAGCATCAGCGTTGCTTTCAAAATCTAAAAAATTCTACCTTGCCTTGGTTGTCAATTTTACTTTTTTTTTAGGCAGAATGCAAAAACGAACATAAACTATGGAAACGCTCCAGTTTTTTGAGTACAAATAAATCTTGATACAGACAATACATTCATTGTTCCTTAAAGAATAGAATATCTTCGACTTAAGAATTACAAATGATGAGAAAATTAAAAAAAATAAAATAAAATAAATAAATAAATCTATAGAAAAAGAAATTAAAAGAATAAAATACTTAAAATTATTAAAATATTGTTGCATGGATTTATCAAAAATTATTATTTCGGCATAGCTACTAACTAATTTTTCATTAATAAGTTGTTAAAGTTCCATTTTTGTTGAGGGTTGTCCTCATAGTATTAAGACCTCTGTGTCACAGTGACAGCATTCCGAAGAGAAGGACCAGGCTATTGTCATGTTTCATACTTGTATTTCAAAATGGATTTAAGCATTCACATTATGATCTCGGCACTGGATGTAAATTCTTGGTAGCATTCGGTGACCCCTCCATTCTGATAAAAAATACATCCATCTCCCAGTGAAATATATCTGGAAAAAAGTTGCATTTTCTCAATACGCAACGGTGCAGTGTCTTGGCAGTGCCAATCATAACAAGCTCATATATGTATAGAGCATGTTGAAAACATATCTTTGATCTAGATATCTTAAAATAATTGAGATACTTGGTAAAAGTAAAAAATCGGCAACATGTTGAGGTACTTGCTATATATTTGAAGGCAAGACTATACTCACGTATCAATCGAAAAAAATATTTTCACGGATATTCATAAATAAATATAAAAAAATCACAGAAGTCTAAACAAATTACCAAAAAAAATTAAACAAAATAAAAAAAGGTAAAAAAATTAAATTAGAAGCATCTTTATTTTAAAATCATTTTATTATTTTTTGTTTGAAAAGAATTATGAATAAACTTGGCAGCAGTATTTTTCCAAAACCAATCGTTACCTGGGACTGACATCAGCCCTTGATATTTTGCCTTGATACGAGTTAAGATACCCATTGAAGTCAAGTTCAACAAGAAAAAATTATAATCCATACAGATTTCAAAGTTTTAAGCATGGCAACGCTGTATCACCACCGGTCAAAAAATTCTTCTTCAAATACAAACATTCATCTACAGATGACATAAATGGTTGATTTCCTGCCTCAAATCGTGATTAAATTCTACAAAAGTAGCTTCTTAAACACAGAACTCAAAAATATAGACATTTTTAAGCTCAAATATATAAACTATGCAATCCTGTATCATTAAAACTGTACTTGCATTTTGAGTTAAATTTTAACAAAAGCCTTAATCTATCATAAAATTGCATCTAAACCCCAAAAGCATATCTTTTAGCCGTTTCTAAGTTCGTTTTTAAGTTAAGAAACTTGATAAAATGAACATTTTTTATAGGTTTTTATGTCAACTTTGCAACGTTGTTTTAACAGAATTAGTAGTATTAATGTTTCAATTGAAATATGCATTCGATAATAATACTAACATTTGATAAAATGTCACAAAATATCATAAAACATCCAATTGAATCGTTCTGAGAAAATAAGATACCTGAGAATATGAGAATTTTAAAGCTCAAATATGCCAACTTTGCAACGCTGTATCTCGGAAACTAGACGTATACTCAAGCTAAAATTTTTACTGGAGGCTTACCTCATCATAAGGTTTCATTTGAGCCACAAACGAACGAAATCCCCGGGTTCCCGAAAAGGGGCCAAAAAAGGCCCTTTTTTAGGGAGGCTCTTTGCAGATTTCGAGTTGCATGCAGAAGGAGGTCCCCACGGCATTATATTATGGGGCTCACGGGAATCGTGTTTTGCGATATACCGACCTGTCTAGCATTTTAATCTGTGGACAAGGATCGATAAACAGGGTGTTCGCGACGAACACATTCATAACCAATTCTTTACCACAAGTTCAAGAGGAGAAATATCGATAATCGATCATTCACGCTTCACCACTGGTCACCCTGGTTCCACAACTGCACGCTAAGCTAAAAATGGGCGCTGTTTTGTGACACAGTTCCTCGTGTGCAAGAAAGAACAAACGTACATCTTTTTACGTTCTCGCTACCCTAGGGTAGAGGAAGTATTGTCATCCTGCAAGGGGGGGGAGTTGAAATTTCATCATTTCTAGACGTTTTAAGGTCCCAGGAGTCAAAATAACCATACTTGAAATAATGTGTGTCCCTCCGTCAGGCGTCCCCCAAATCTGTGTACAGCGATATCTCAGAATCTATCTGTTCGATTTCATTCAAAATTTGCAGAGAAGACCATATCCATGGTCTCCTTATGCACGTCAAAGGATAGCGGGGTACGCTAAAATTTTGGGGGGGGGGGCTAGGGGTCAAGGTCCATTTTTAGCAAAATCACACGGAAAGCTCATTTTGAAGGACTGTAAATTTCGAAAAATGCGTTTAATTCTATAAAAGTGGGCATCAAGCATATCACCTGGGTCATTAATTTAAGTTCCTTAAAGATTTTTGGATTGAACTCAAAATTCAAGGTATACGAGGCACAAAAGTAGTTTTTAACTTGACTTGGAATACAAGGAATGAAGGGTATTGGATGTATGGCGTTTGTTATGTTGTTTGTACAAGTATCACTTTAAAATGGTATGACTCTGAGACCCATAAAAAATGGCTCGGAGATTCATAAAACCTAACCGAAGTGACTTACCGTCTACAGTATGGCTTTCTGAGCCATACTTCATCGGTCGTGAATCTATGAGCATGGCTCCATGAACTGTATTTTATGGCTCCATGATCCATAATTCGGCCGGTAAGTCACTCTTCCCATACTTGTTTTTGAGTGTATTTAATTGAGAAATTGCGACTTACCGTCGCTCCAGTGACGTGAGGGCATATCTTGATTTCCGCATGAGCCCCAAAAAGCGTGGATTCAAATGTAAAACAGGGCTCACGCGGAAATTGAGATACGTCTTTATGAGACGAAACGACGTCGTCCGTATATTACGCTCTTCACAGCCCGGAAAAGCGGACAGCTAGAGCCAGTTAAATTACCGGAACTACCTAAACATGCTGTCGGCCTTCGAAATTTCAGAGATCAAAGCCACGTGGAATAAAAAACGTTTCTGCAGGTTTTCTCGTGAGTTCCAGTTTCGTGAAAATGTATCTCCACTGATTCAAACCCTGATCTAATTGAATCAGTGAGAACGAAAACGCACCAACTGGAAAAAATGAAAATAATCAAGACACACACAAAATGCCTAGTAGGTGAAGTAGTTAGTCCAAGGAAAATATTTTTGGTGCCAAAAGAAATGTACTAAAGGACACTTTAAAGGTGTAAGTTGGAATGGATGCGCTAACTTCAATGACCTTCATGAAAATTGACTGTCTTCAATGAAAATCGAGCATTTTTGAGTCACCGAGTTGGTGTGTTTTCGTTCTCACTAATTCAATTTTGACCCAGAGTAAGACACACTGCAATTCGAATATAATTTTTGTCTTCATAGATGTACGTGTTTCTTATTTTTCTGATGCCATTAAAGTCCATTTCGTATGGAGCGTTCTTTTATTCTACTTAAATGGAAAAGTTCTTGATTTTTCATTAATTCTTGTGCTTTATTTTTCTTTCAGAAATTATTGAAACTACCTGAGTTTAAACACGTGAGTTCACATTCCGCTCATTTTATCTAATCGTAACATAATAAAAATCAAATAATACATCCGAAGTTTCATGCATCATTTGTTATCTTATAAACTTTTACAATTACTTGACCACCTTTAGCAAAATGGAACCAAATATTTTGCGAAGTCTCCAAAACTCGTGCAGTATGCAAGTTTCTACAAAGGGCAAAAACTCCTGAGAGTTTAACCAGTCTCTATATTTATACACACGATTAGGCAAAAAAATAAAATAAAATAAAAAATCGAGAATTCCAAAATAGGGACTGCAATTTTATAGTCGAACTTTCATTTGGACGTATAACTGCGTAATGGACTTATAAGCGAGAGGGAAAGATAGGGTGTGCTCGAGGAAGCTGGATAAGAAACACTATAGGAGTGGGCGTGATTCCCTCTGGGGAAATGGAAAAGTGGAATTTTACATTCTACCAAACGGAACTAAGCGCCAACTGTATGTGGCACTCATGAGTCATGGGCATGTGACAAGAGTGTTGTAGACAGGGCTCATGAGTTAAAAACGCATACGGGCTACTGCGACGGCGCGACGGCGGCTTCGTCGCCGCTGACGTAACTGGCGCTTTATAATTCCCACTCATTCATACGACCCTCGACCAACGAGCACACCCCGTTTCTGGTTCTGTTTAGGAGAAATACGTCCATTTCGTTCCATCATGCTTTAAATTTTTGCATATTTTTGTGATTTCTCCCCGATGGCAACAAAGTTGTGCCATATCATCAACACTGCAATACTGCCGTGCTAATGAAGAACACCGTATGAACCTTTACGCGTTGCCAAATTTCCTTGGGTAAATCATGAATTCTCGGGAAAATTTGTCCACAGTTTTCTTCCAATTTTTCTGATAATTTTGTTCGCAATTTTACCCAAAGCTCTTGAAAATATCGTGGAAGAATATTCATAACTTTCCTCAAATATAAACATTTTTTCAAAGAAAATTTCGGCCCTCTCGAATGTTCATACGGCGTTTTTACTCAGTACTGCGGAATATGCTTGGCTTTTCTCCCCGAATCTCGGTTCAATTCCTCGATGTTTATTCCCAGAATTTCCGTTGAATTTTTCTTTCATATTACATCGAGTTGGATCAAGCCCAATTTTCTGTTTGTATTTTATTTACCTCCATTTCTATCGATTTTACGGGCACACTCGACCTGTTTTTCTGTTGTTTATGGAAAAATACGCACAACTTATCTACTCGTTAAACAATCTTATAATAATAACATGTTACAAACGTTTCGTTAAGCGGCCTTCAGATCAGTGGCGTGGCGTGAATTACGATGTATCGATTGTTATGCCATTTTAACCGATGGTAAAGAATTGATTATTAAGGTGTTCGCTGCAAACACCCTGCTTATCGATCCTTTTCCATAGGTTTAAATGGCATAATAATCGATACATCGCAAAACAAGCCACGCCACTGCTTCAGATGGTATCGAGCAACTCGTCATTTTATCAATCAAGGCTTCGCACGGTAGTAAAATAATTATATCGACCGTACCAAATTTTAGCGTTGAAATCAGTCAAGTAAGACGTAGGTCTTATTGGCAGATGCCAAAAATTTGCCCAGTTTCCTCTTGAAACTGTGCCATGATGGATTACTGTCTGGCACGTGAATAGTCGTTTCTCGCACGAAGGGACGCAACTCCATTCTAAGGTTGCAAAATTGACAAAAAAATAAATTTTTAAGGAGCATAAGCTTGCATATAATTTTCGTCGAATATTTGTCGGATTTTCGCGTGAGATCTGAAGAACAATCTGTGAAGTTTTCTCGCAGAAATTCTCAAATTCTCCTGGTTGAAATGCAATTTGCGTGAAAATATCAGGCAACATTGAAATTTAGTTACGTTCTTTCGCGAGAGAAAGAACGAAATCTGACTTTATATGCACTGTAATGAAAAAAGAAGAAAAAAAAACGGAGCGCGATAATAGCTTCCAATTACTTTTGTTTTTTGCTCGTAAAATTAAAAATTCAGGGTATTGTTGCGATTTGCGGCAGCCTCCGTCGCGTCGGTTGAATTTGTGCCGATCTCACCGTTTTTGGTGTTTGTTTGTCGTTTTTTTTTCCTTCCTCTCTTCACCTGTTGCATTATAATGCAATTTCTGCTACTAAGAATACCTCATTCATTAAGACGCAAGTCAACTGGTTTCCTGCCTGCCTGGTGAAATATAACTCAGTCTGGTGTAGAAGGAGGAGTAATGTGAGATAAAACATTTCTTGAATGAGAAACTCATACGTCTTGTACCGAGGAAGAGTTAGTGTGACACTTGAGGAAATATAAGGACTCATAAGGAAGATAGAGTCAGGCGAAAATCTTTTCAACGAGCCGTCCCTAAATAACGCATAACGTTCCAAAGGAGGCGGATCTTTGCCAGCGTTAGACGGCGTTACAGAGGGATGGGGGAGGGAAGATTAGAGCGAAGCGTTACGTAACGAGGTTAAGAGATATTTTTCAAGTTTCCGTAAACTTTTTTGTCGGTTGTCTTTCAAAGTTGTGGAGAATCTCGAAAATATGTTCTAATACTTTCACTTTTCAAACCTAAATTGAAATGCCAATCCGTTCAGTGCAAGGAGATATTTATATGATTTTTTATCGAAATGAGTGGGAGGGTCCGGGCGAGCGTTACGTAATATTTTAGAGGAGCCAAGAATAGCGTTACGGAGCATTACAGGGGGGAAGGGATGTTGAAAAACCGAAAATTCAGGGTCACGGAATTCAGGGACGGCCCCTAAGATGGGGTCGCATTCTGCACCATTTTGCACAAGGGATACTCAAAAAAAGTCCAAAATATGTTCCTCTTAAGAGCGAGTCAAATTCAGAGCAGTGACTCTCGACCTTCTGTACATGTACATGTTGTCACTTAAAATACATTGTCATTGCAAATAAATGCATTGCAATTCATTGAGACACAAACCTGCTTGTCTCTGGCATTAATGCAGGGGTTGAGCTTGCAAATTGTCGACCAACTTTTTATTTTCATTTATTTTTTATTTGTTTCGTTTGCTTTTTTTTTTAAACCTAAGCTCTTTCACCGTAAGGACCCCCCCCCCCCCCCCCCCCCCCCCCCCNGTGCCCCTTGCAGCCCTTTTGGGGTCCGTGGCTCACAGCTTGAGAATCCCTGCTTTAGAGACCGATTGATCCCTACTTTGCGAAAAATATATATGAAGTATGGTGGGACCTTTAGTTGCCTATGTTGCCAACTTTAGCAACGATTCCCTTCAAACCCTTTGTAACATCATAAAAAATGCAAATTATGGCTTGACTTTTTGATCCAATTAGGATCTTAGAAAGTGTCCAGCAATGATATCTGAATTTCTAAATATTTTTACCTTAAACTGGATTTTCGGCTGTACTGAACGATTTGAGTTTCCTTCTCAGTGCACATTTTGCCTGACACCATCACGAATATGAATCGACTGTAATATATAAAAAACTACAAAAAACCCCAAAAAACTTTCAGATTCTAAGGGGTAAAGAATCCGGCCAAAGTCTTAAACTTCTTGAACCAAATTTTCTTATTACTCGTAAAAGAAAATTAAAAATTATACTTTACTGAAAATCGAATGTGGGCCCCTTCATAAACGAGTGATACAACATTCACTGCATGTGTGTATGTGAACCTCTTGTAGTTTTGTAGNTACCGCCACCCATGATATCCACTAATCTGTATGATCCTCGCATTGTAATTGAGTAAGCGTCACCTTAAAACAACTTTCATGTTTAGTTACTTGGTGCTGTTCATGATTCTGTAAGGTTTAGTGCCGCACCATCAATAATATCTGGTAAAAAAAAGAGCGAAATGACTGCAGTAGAAGTTTCCATTTTCAACGTTACTATCTTCTGCATTCAAGGTGTTGATAATGAAAACTAAAATGTGCATTTTTCTAAATGTGCTTATTTATTTATTTAATTAATTTTTTGTTATAATATCATTGACAAAACTCTCATCACGGTATTCATTTATATGGACCACATTTTGTGATGACGGATACTGACAGACCAACTTAGCTGAAAATACAAGGGTAAAACTATTCCACACATCCAATTTTGGATAGGAATCTTACAAACTATATACTTAAGCGCTACAGGAGATAGTTTTTTGGGGGGTACAAGATATTTCAAAATTGTACCCTTAATAGGGTATAAAATTCTGCATGGAAATGCATGGAAAATACATGAAGCTCTTAGAATGATTACATATAATTAACAAACCCAGCTCTTATTTGGATTTTATATAGAGTTAGGATATTGCAACAAGATTGAGGACAATAGCTCAGATATTGATGATCCTAGCAATTTTATCGCCAAAAAGTCGTAAAAAAAATTGCGACTCAATTCCAAAGTATCGCGATTTTTCCGTTGAAAAATGTAACCGCACAGAGAGAAATATCTAATACCTACACAAAAGTTTGTTTAATAAGGGAAGTAAAACACAAATTAACTCTAGCCTTCGGTTGGGAATTTTGAGAGAAGAGCCAGCTAGTTTTCTTGAAGGAATTTAATGAAACACGAGTGGTTGAATACGAACGTCGCAATCGGAGGAATGCATTTTCTCAGTCACTCCATTGTTTTTTTGCGCTAAATTCACCACAAATTGCAACCAAAGTCAACACAAAATTTGTGTTGCTTTGTGTTTCACAACCTATATTGACCAAAAGTACATAAGAACACAAATATTTTTATCAGGGTTGGGTTACGCGCGAGAGGCGGCGATTTGCGGCGACAGCCTCACCAAGGCGTTGAACTGCTGCATTGGTCTACCGTTCGATCGGAGAAACAATCTTTGGACAAACGAGGGCGACTGATAGCAGATGCAATATCTAGTTGTCCCACGGCAAGCCCCATGTGTAAGTTTGTGCTCTAACTTTCGGAAAAATCTAGCAGCGACATTCAGAAAACGACAGTACAGGCTGCACCATCCTTCAGCGTCGGAGTGGAGATACACCATGCAAGGGTCGATCATTTTCTTCACAGCCAATCTCATAGCGTTACCGACTGGTTCTCTAAGTCTTGGACTTATTGGAATATTCTATGCAGAAAAATAATATTACACGTAAGATAAAGTAATCAAAGTTTGTGTTAATCAGGGGGTAAGCCCCCTGACCGCTACGCGACCCAACCTCCTGGGAGCGCGTCGCGATAGTACAGCTAATTTGGCTCGGTAACAACCAGGGATCTCGGATGAAGTTAATTTTTGTGTTGCGTATGTGGGTCGTACTGGTTCATATAGACCGTTACAGTCCAAAACAACCGTTGCGTTACCCGGCCCGAATTGAGACTAATGGGTCGACGACGGACAATGGATCACTAGACAAGGTACGAATTTAAGCATTCTGATACATGTTTCTTAACCAGAATTTCACGTAAAATACGATTCGCGCAACGAAAATTACTGAAACCAACTCCTAACGAAGATATTAACGTTTTTATTTCACATTGATTACCAGGGATTTGAACTGCCCGCTCACAAGAAACTCAAAGCTCTACGCGAGTCAAATCGCGCACTACAACGGTTTCAGCGAGCTTCTCAATCGAGCAATGTTCATTTTCCCTCATGTGTTGTTGAAACTATAAGCAATTTGCTAGAGCTGAGCCAAAGCGTCAAGATTGAGGTTGCCAGATTTTTATATTGCAGAGACTGTCATGATAAACGTTTAGCGCACGATGTGAATCACGTAGAGCATTGAGTTTTCATGAGCGGGTGGTTTCAATTCACGAATTAAGAATCATTAAATATCTTCGTAAGGAGTTGATTTCGGTAATTTTCTTTATACGCATCGTGTTTTACGTGAAATTTTGGTTAAGAAACATGCATCAGAATGCTGAAATTCGTACCTTGTCTAGTGGTCCATTAGCCTCCAAAAATAATCTGAAGTTTTAAAAAATATGCGGAAAAGTGAATATGGGTCTGTTGCACGCAAGCAACACAGCCAACGGAATATACATTCTAAAGTTGAATTCACTCGAAAATCACGTTGGTTACATCAAAAAAGTCTGGAATTCATTCCTTAGCGCGCGATCTGCGTAATTTTTTCACACGTTTTTCCAACATTACCGGGCGGGCAGTTTTTTGTGGTGGCCTGCAGTCAGGTTTGCCCGGAGACAGATCTAACCTGAATACGCAAAAAATCTCGCGAGCTGCTATAAACTCCCCTCGCGTAAGATTTTAATTCGCCCACAGCTTTTGTTTTTACAAAAGGAAGATAGAAAGGAAACAAACGCTTGATAACAATTGAAATCGTACAATATGGAAAGTTAGTGAAATCGGTTTTTTAAGTTTTTCTGACTCCTCTATCCTGCCCGCAAACGTGGGAAACTTGAAAAAGCGCGTGTTACAAACTATTACGTAAAATAAAAAATTCTGATTCTTATGAAAGATGATCACGGTGTCAACGATCACGACGTCAACGAAACTTAAGGTGTATCTACAGCTGCGTGAAGTAAGAAATTTCTCCGCGCAGGGGGCGCCACCGCTGTGTTTTAGAGTCCGTACAGCGCCACGTGAGTCCTTGAGCTTTTATAAAAGTTGAAGGAATTTCTGTTTAAATCGAAGATAAATAAGTTCTAGCTATAACATTCTTCTTCCTATTGACCCTAAAAACAACGTGAAAAGTCATTTCTGAAGCTCTGCAATTTGATCCCAGAAAAAAGTAGGGTTAAGCATGATGACCTTGATGCAACCAATCGCGCTTGATCGCTCTCAGCAGTTGGCAGATATCTCTCTCCCACCGTGAGCTGTCTCTCTCGCACTTACAGATATCCCGTAAGAGAAACTGGGATCAATTTACAGCTTTTATTATTAGACTTTCAAAGCTCGCGTTTGTTTCTAAGGATTCCAGACGTATGCTGCTAGAACTTATGAGTCTTAGAATTTAAGATACCTATTGTGATATTTAAATAATCACTGATTTCGGAGTCGGATTTTAGCAGCGCGACGTGGTGGATTTTTTCGGAACTACAGCTGAAGATTAACCTTAAAACTTCCCTCTATAACATATTTCAAATTTCAAGTCTTGTTTTTCTTGTGTTATTTACTCTAACCTAACCTAACCTAACCTAACCCAAACCTAACCTTACCCAAAGCCTTATAAAACCCAGCCCACTTTCACAGAACTTAACTTTCCCCGGCCTTACCCTACCTAACTTTAACCTTACCTACCTAATCTAACCGTACATATCCTGACGTAAACTAATCTAATCTAACCGTACGTGAGCCAAACCTGTAGACTTGATTTTTTAAATTTACTCACAAGGAAGACATTTTCTGTTTGTTGACACCGTGATCGTTAACACCATGCCCAGGGCCCATTCTTGCGTTTCACTGCCTGCATGAGCATGACGTCAACAATCGTTGACTCCATGGTCAGATTTTGGGTTTCTATGTCACCATGATCGTTGACACCCTGCAACGTTACCTTTACAAACTTTGCAGATTGCGCACTGAGGAATCAATTTTAGACTTTTTTGACGTGCTCAAAGTGATTTTTGTGCGATTTTATCAGAACAGAGCGTATTTATCTGACTGTATCTTCTGCGTACAATAGACCCATTTGAGCAAGAATCAACCTAGAATAATTTGGTCACGCAATTCTATTCCGTTCCCGCCCTACATTAAACTTGCAAACTTGGCCCGATTTTGCCGCCAATCCTCCAGCCAATAGGATGCGTGGCTTCATTTTTTGCTTTCAGCGCTCCGTCTGTATGTCTTTGGGGTTCACTTACCATCAGTATATCATATCCGTAAACTTCCGTTAACCTCCTCAGAAGTGCTGCGAACGCTCCAAGCCAGCTAGCCGCTATATTCGGTTCCATATGTAACAGCATTGCGGACGGATTAGCTATGTAATTAATCAGGGCTTCCTTGAAGCTCTCCCCCACAACGGGTCCCATTGCTGTCACCTGCAAAGTGAGAAAAAGTAACCGATGATTTCCGTTAAAATGGGATGTACAACACGAAGTGACCGAAAAGTGCGGTTAAATTCCTTTACTTAGTTACTAGGGTACCATGCCCCCGAAGACCGCTTCACGGCCAGCGAAATTGTCGGAATCACCCGTTGGCGGCTTGTGAGCAAATAATTTCAACTGAATAAGGGTGGTTTCACGATAACTGGAATAGTTTTGTCGCTGTAACAGACAACACATTTTTCGGTCATATTTTTAGTAGAAATGATAATCACTCAAATTTTTTCGGATTAATCTTCAAAGGGTTACGTATTATTACACTTTCTAATGATTTATTGTTCTACTTCTCAATTAATCTTATGCAAATTACGAAAATGTGATGTCTGTTACGCGGTAAAAAGTTTGCATATTTTCGGCCATTTATATATTGAAATTGAAAAGTATGGCAATAAATATTTGAAAAGCGTTACAACACGTAACCCTGTGTAGGTTAATGCAAACTAATTCGAGTAATTTTCATTACTCCTAAAAATATGACCGAAAAATGTGCTCCCTATCTTCGCATAGTGTTTGTCTTGGTGTAGAGGTGGACCCTCAGGATAGCGTGGGATTTCCCCTCCATTTTGGCCTCACTTTGAGAGCTTTTGTTGAGCTTGGGAGATGATTTCGGAGAAAACCAGTGGCACCAAAGTGTTCCTCGCGAACTTTTACATAAGAATCAATGGTCAAATCGCAAATCCCTCACACACGCAACATCTCCAATGAAACTTGAATTTCTGAGGGAAAAACTTGGATTGAAATTTCCGCACAAAATCATCCCATTATTCTCAGCTAATCTACAAGATTCAAGCGTCAAAGCGCGATTCTGTGATCAGCGCTACTGACCCCCTCTCCGTTGGTCTGAATCTTACTTTCTCTCTGCTGTCTGTTAGTGCTGGGTCTGTTGGGTTGGTTGCATCAGGAAAAATCAGATGATCCGGGCTGCTATTGAGAACGCCCATCATATAAGCATCGGGCAAACTTCCGCGAGTTCTCCGTCCACTGGAGTCCGTAAGAACCACGTAATCGCCATCCCCCACTGCGGGTTTAGTGACGAGGTAGAAATTGTAGTCCTTGTAAATCGGTTGGTCCGGCGAAGTATCGGTGACTTGTTTACACGTGACTTGGATTCCGGCTCTCGGGTTGTAATATGCCAACAAATTGGGTCGCGAGCACTCGTACAATTTCTGGCCGTGCCTTCGAAACTCGATGTAGAAAGTCGCCTGGCAGACGAGGAAGCCTCCAAAAAAAGCGAGCAGCCCCCAAAGCCTCATACTTAACGCTTCACGGCCGGCTTCTCGTGGGATGAGTCCCTGAAAAACAGCGCGTGTTACGGAATCATAGATCCATGTCAGAATTTAAGGTGATTCGATGGACGCCATATTTTGTGTCAGAATGGCGTGCGATATCGCATCAATGGACCACTTGACAAGGTACGAATTTAAGCACTCTGATACTTTCACGTAAAACACGATTCTCGCAACGAAAATTACTGAAACCAACTCCTGACGGAGATATTAACATTTTTATTTTACATTGGTCACGAGGAATTCGAACTGCCCGCTCACAAGAAACTCAAAGCTCTACGTGAGTCAAATCGCGCACTGCAACGGTTTCAGCAAGCTTCTCAATCGAGCAATGTTCATTTCCCACCGTGTGTTCTTCAAACTATAAGCAATTTGCTATAGCTGAGCCACAGCGTCAAGATTGAGGTTGCCAGATTTTTATATCGCAGGGACTGTCATGGTTACGTTTAGCGCGCGATGTGAATCACGTAGAGCATTGAGTTTTCATGAGCGGATGGTTTGAATTCACGCATCAAGAATCATTAAATATTTTCGTAAGGAGTTGATACAGGTAATTTTTGTTAAGCGCATCGTGTTTTACGTGAAATTTTTGTTAAGAAACATGTATCAGAATGCTGAAATTCGTACCTTGTATAGTGGTCCATTGGTTCCATTTTTTTCAGCTACTCGTCATTTTTCTCCAACTTTCAGATCGCAATTCTGTTGTCGGTAGACTAAAGCACTCACTTACCAATTCTAACAAAGAAATTCAACGTAATAAAGGCTTGGTTTTTTTTAGAGAGAAAACATCGCATTCGATACTGATATCGAAACTGCATTCGAATGCGATGTTTTCTCTCTAAAAAAACCACGCCTTTAATACGTTGAATTTCTTTGTCAAAGGAACATGGACTCTTCAGCCTCATGACAACAGAATTGCGATCTCAAAATTGAAGAAAAATGACGAGTAGCTGAAAAAATGGAACCAATTGATGCGATATATCGCATGCCGTTCTGACACAAAATATGGCATCCATCGAAACAGCTTAAGGTTAACCCTTGTTTTATGTCGGGCGACGTGCGATAATCGCATCGATTTGCTCGATAATTTCAGGCTTTTGTCATTTTTTTTTCGCATTTTGAGATCGCACTCCTGTTGTCATGAGGCTGAAGAGTCCATGTACCTTTGACAAAGAAATTCAACGTATTAAAGGCGTGGTATTTTTAGAGGAAAAATATCGCATTCGAGTGCAGTTTCGATAGCAGCATTGAATGCGATATTTTTCCCCTAAAAAAAACACGCCTCTATTACGTTGAATTTCTTTGCCAAATTTGGTACGTGAATTTATCAGTCTTATGACAACAGAAATGCGATCTCAAAATTCGAAAAAAATAACAAGTAGCTGAAATTATGGAACGAATCGATGCGATACATCGCACGTCGCTCTAACACACACAATGACGTCCGTTGAATCACCTTAAACATAATTGAACCGCGTGTATCAGAAAGGAACTTGAACGTCAGCTATTGCCAACTTTAACTGGTCAATTTAATTTTTTACGAGAGAACGATTATGTGGATTCCTTTGAAAATTTTAAGGAATTTGCCTCGTGCTATGTAGATTTCCACTAAAATTTGCACGAAAATCCGCACAACCGTTTTCATGTAAAAAATTAAATTGACCAATTAAATTTTGCAATCGCTGATGTGGCTTGGTTCCTTTATGCTTAACATGGTCCAACGTATAGGTATCTAATTTATAGAGGTAAAAGATAGTAATCGTAGCCTTAATACCTTAATATGAGTTCATGATAAGTATGAGTTATTTCATTTATTATATTTTTCGTTTATTTCAATATGATTTTATTTTTTATTTGCTATCTTTTCGCTGCTTCTCTGCTTGTTTGCCTACTCTGCCTGTCATTCTTGTATCAGAATTGAATCAATGTAAGCTTTTTTAAGTAACTTTTTCTTTGTAGATTTTCTAACTATGTTATACTTGTTAGTATATTGTTTCTGCTTTGTTATGATTGTTTGTTGTGATATGCCTGATGATGGCTCCAGAAGCCGAAAAGTACTTCGCGCAGCATGAATTAAAATAAACTCATTTTTAGGTTTCAAGGCTACAACTACTACCTTTTGCTTCAATGTCAGAGTGGTATGAAACGAAGGAAACTCTACTTCATGAGGCTGTGAACATTTGAAACATTCTCACTCATTTCATGGGCAGGATAAGAAACCTAAAATAGGCTTTCGTAACGCAAATTACCTATTAATTTCGGCACCAACATTACGCTGTTTTATGTAATTCGGCTGAAGATACTTTCGAATTGTTGGATTCAACAAATTTTCTGTTACCTTGGAAATTTTTTAAAATTTGACCCTGTTTGGGTGCATTTTGAGGCTTTCGTGACGCAAATTTTCCATTCGTTCCTGCCCTAAAATTATTACTCTGTTTTCTGTATTTTCAGTTCAAAATACTTTCAAATTGATAGACTCAACAGATATTCTGTTTTACTTCCCTCCAACCAGAATTTTTTTTTTTTTTGGGGGGGGGGGGCAAATGCTATCATTTTCAATTCTAGGGGAGCAGGTCCCCCTGGACCCCCTCCTTTAGCCTAGCTACGCTCAAGACGAGGAAAGTTAATTGAATATTTTTCGCGCATCGTTGACGAGACAGACTAGTTGAAAAAAGACACCCGTATGCGTAAAAAAGGCAGCTAGAAAATCTATCATGTTTTCCGTCAAGAAATATATTCCTGTTCGCACCAGACTCATAGAAATTTGTCATTCAAGTGTAGTTTTTACCATATTTTTTTTTGTAAGGTTCGTAGAGTACACAGTGTAAGAAATGTATAAATATTATAATACACGGAGTAATTAATGAAAATGATTTCTTGCAGTTCGAGAAGTATTGTCATCTCTCGAACGTTAAAGTACGTTTCTCCTTTCCACCTGTTCCGGGGAATGTATGGAGTTATATCGTACATATGTCGCAGGCAAATAGTCAAATCAGGCATTTCATCAAATCCCTAGAGGAGAGAAAGTCAAATTTTGAAAATTCACAAAGACTTGTATGTTTTTGACGAGGAACTATTAAGTTTCCATTGTTTTGAAAGTAACAATTCATTAAAACCACCAACTAATCTTGTATTTTGCCCTCCAAGTGCTCCTCATATATTTTTAACTTTCAGAATGTTAAAAGGTCGGTATTATACTGGATTATATCTGGTATTATACTAAGAACTGGATTTAATTTATTTACAATTGGATGATGTCAATTTTTACAAAAACTCCTTGTCAACTCGAGAGCAGAATAATTATTTTGTTTAAAATTAGGAAAAGAATCAGAATTTCAATCCAAGTAAGATTATTTGACTATTTGCCCAGGCGTTTGAAAAAAATGCCTGAATTGAATAATTGCCTGCAACACATACATACATATATAAAAGCTCAACAAGAAAAGCAGTTACACATTGGCGTCAGAGAAACGACGGTATGTAAGAAGAAGGAAGCAGATAGTCAATCATTTGAAATGATCATTTGTTTCTTGAGCTTTGAAGGTCATCCTGTGAGCTAATGTCTTTTGAATGGAAATTTCGAGGAAATCCCGTAATCCATAGAGGGATAACCAATGCTTTACGGACGTATTAACGACAATGCAGCTAAAGGAAAAAAATGACTTCTGTGACGCAGATGCTGAAACTGAAATTGCCGTTTTAAGTAGATAAATCTCTTAAGACTACTCAACTCACAAAAAATTGTCAAAATAATCGCCGCCTTTCCCACGATGAAAAGAAAATCCTTTCTTACACGTGAGAAACTTTCTCGTTAGTCATATGAACCTAAGAAAATGAATTGACAAAAAATTGTCTTATTATTTGCGTCATTAATAGTGGGCATTCTACTCACACAATAGCAACGTTATTTATATTGCAGTGATAAAAGATGAGATCATTAAGATTATGCTTAAAATGAAGGTACATGAACAGTCGCTGATGTTAGTCGGGCGGTAAACGGCTAAAACTCGTCTAATTTGTTTGTTTGATTTTTTTATGCACGAGAGTGAATATGCTTTGGAAAATTTTAAAATGCTTTACATGAACTTAAATGATGGACCGTTAATAATTTTAAAGACTGGTAACTTTTAATGGGAAGCATAAAAACTAACTTACTCACAGCTGAAATTCGTCAGGTGGTCACATGAATCAGGTTCATAACTGCAGAAAAATGTCAGCGTGTACCTAGCGAACTGCGAGGTGAATATCCTCGACACAGGTTTTTGGTGAAAATACTCTGCTACAAGTTCCTATGAAGCAGCGAGCTAAAAAGGAAATTAAAACCAAGAGATAATGTGCAAAAAACAAGGGGGAAAACACTGAATGAAGTCCAACGTCAGAGAGGATAAGTGCAGATGTACAATGACTTCGCTGTCAGATTTTCAAAAAAAAAAACAAAATATAAACACATCAAAAATTGTTGAGAACTAATAATTGAACTGATGAAATATTGTCGAAAATTCAAAGAAAGAGCCATGCACAAATTCGCCCGTTTTTGGGCCCTCGAAATTGGGGTCGGTGTGAGGTTTTTTTTCATCTATAGGGTGACCCTTTACACATAATAAAATTTCAGATTGAGTATACGCACCGTTTTTGAGATATGGGGGGGCAAAGTCCCCGATTTTTACTCATATTTGCAGGTATTTTATAGTCGAACTTCGGCTGCTACAAGGTACCGGATGTAGATATTGAAGCGCGGTTTGCGGTGATTTGTCAAGCTATTTCTGGATTATTTTTTCACATATTTTACAAACCCGCAAATGGTTTTTCGGGGGGGGGGGAGCTTTATTCATGTTATCATGACCGTTCGTATACGTCTTACTGGCATTAATTGCTTCGTTCTCGACTCCTCTCCACGCCGTAATCATGATGGTATTTTCTGTTAGGAATCTTTCTTCTTCTTTATATTTGACCAATTCTAATGTTGTCTCCCCCTTT